TCCCTCCTGTAGGCAGACTCAATGTAAACACTTTCCCCCCATTTACTCTCAGTGGGCTCTGAGTTGATTGTATGTGGCTCATTATCTGATGCCGTTTGATCCCCTATTCAATTTGATTCAATTTTGCCTCAGACAGTCAGAAATATTATAATTCTGATCATTTATCTGTACTGACACTTGTGAGACTTCCTCAGAGGTGTAAACATCACAGCAGATGCCTTTGTGTCAAAGTAACTGAGGTTAAAACACAGAAAAACATGAAGGAGATTTTCCTGGCCTGACAACCTTAAAAATATTCTGCAGTAGAACAAAAACTGAAGAAAACCATGAATCAACATATGAACATTACTCTGCTTTTCTTCAGCAGCATCAGGTAAAGAGGTTTTATTAGAGACAGCCAAGTGTTTTGCAGTTTGGCATCATTTTAAAAATGTAAATTTCTCCTGTATTAAACAGCAGAAAAGAGGCTTTCTTGTCGGAGGTCATTTAAAAAACCAACAGCGGTCGACAGAGCTGTAAGCAATGGTAGACTGGTGCGTAAAAATCTAATAAATAATGCAGAAAGAATTTTGGCTTCTGAGAGTTGCAGCTGTGTATGATGTGATCATCAGGCACAAACTAAGATATACAAACAAAATCATTTGTGCCTCAATCCAGACACAAATAGAAAATAAGATGAAGTATTTTACAAATGTGTGAATCCAAACTTGATTAAAGATCATTTAAAGACACATTTTTGCCTCCACAAATTTTCCTGTGTCTGAAAATATTTGTTAGTTTCAGTCCCTGACAGAAAATTAAATATACCTGACACACACCTGTGTACGTGTAGTTTTACTTCCAGTGAGTCACATTCAGTGAGTGCAGCCAAACATGATGGCAGACTGCCACAGATCACTTCTGAGGAAAGAGGAGGCGTTCAGCTTCCTCATAGTTTCACACCTGCATGAAGCAGCCTCACCCTGACAGCTTCAAATCACTGTGTCAGCTGATCACTTCCTGTCCTGTGATTGGCTGAGCTTCAGGCCTTCTCTCAGTCAAACTGGAAACAGGGATTGAGACAGTGTGAGGGTTTGTGGAGTGCCACAGTGCTGTAATGAATACTGTAGTGGAAGAAGTTCTTTCACACTCTTCATCCTGGAGCTGCTTTATGTCCATGATCTGCATGGAAACACATCTATGGAGAGGAAATCCAGCTGCTGAGGGTCACATCTGCATCATTGTAGCTACAGTGGATGTTTCAGTGTCAGGACTGAAGGCGGAGCTTTGTGCGTGTCAGGGTGAGGCCGCAGCAGCCGCCTCCACCCGCAGCGCTCGGGCGTGAAACTAGGAGGAAAGCCGACGTCCTCCTCTTTCCTCAGAAGTGATCTGTGGCCGGTCAGACTTCATTCCACAGATGTGCTTTAACAAAGTGTGAAGCTGAACTCTGAGCTGTGACAGTGAAGCAGTGTGAGAGTGTCAGTAGATGATCAGCAGAGGAAAGTGAAGCTGCTGTGAGCTGATGTCCTGAAGGCTTTTAAAGAGTCTCTGAGTTTGACAGGAACATGAAGATGTTTGTGGTGTTTGTGATCCTCCTGCACGGTAAGTACACCTTCCTCTCTCTGCTCTCATCATCAGCTTTTCTTTCATCTCTCTCTCTTTAATGTGTTGAAGTGCAGCAGGAGGAGATTTCCATCAAACACTGGATTCTGATTCAGATCAAACTAACAATCCAAAGCAGCAACTTTCAAATCTCTGGATTCTTCTTGGTGGCTTTCAGATGAGCTCATGTTACAATCAGCTGCTGTGTGTGTTGTTGTGTAGCTGAAGCTCGGACTCACATTTCATATGTGACCAAAGAAAACTTGGTGCTGTGTGACACACTTTAGATTCTCTGCTGCTGCTTTGAACTCTTCAAACTAAAGAGCCAAACGGATGATTGACTGTGCAGCTCTGACATGGCACCAAATGTCCCTGTTATCAGCTGCTGGATGGACGTTATCAGAGCTTTTTAGTGCCACACGGATCAGCAGGAGCTCCTCCTCTGTCTGCAAACAGGCTCAGCAGCTCTGATCATTGGAGTCAGCACAGAGTGTGGGGACATCTAGTGGTCGTGGAGAGAAGTGCATGTAACATGTGCACATCGAGCTTTAAAAAACTCTGTCTAATCACAGACCTTCTCATCTGTTTAAGTAGAGACAACATGCACACAGCTCAGGATGTGAAGCTTGTGTCCCAGTTTAGCTCAGTGGGTCGAGCAGCTGAAAGGCTGCTGCAGGGCTCAGGTTCAATTCTGCAACAGATTTTATTGAAAATCTGATGATCATATTTTTGTCATGTTACATATTTCAGGGAATTTCTCTGAAGCAGGAAACAAAAGAAAAGAATCAGACAAAATCCTGCTGCAGCTTCATCCAGTTATTTAAAGGGTTAAACACACTGGTCACAGTTTGAGGTTTAAAGTAGCTGTGTGTGTCCACAGATCAGCTGACCTGCTGATCTTCATGATCAGTCTGGTTTCCTGCAGATAAAGGCCGAGACTCTTTAGTGCTTCAGTTCTCCAGAGAACCAGGAGGTCTGAGATCTGCAGGAACACAAAAACAAGAGCTGAAAATAGTCACTGTGAGAAAACGAGAATTGCTGAGTTTATACAGTTATTATTCTTACTGCTGCAGAACATTGTCCTTTAAAAAAGATTTGCTGTTATTATAAAGTAAAATCTTGTGATAAAGAACAGATAAGAGTGTGAAGAACAACATGAGGAGGATGAGGAGTAACTATGAGGTAATTATGACACAGACAGCAAAGAAACACTGACTAAAAGTTTCATCTTCATCTGAATCATCGTGAAGGTTCAGTCTGAATTCTCAGGGCTGAATCTGAAAACACTGATGAAAGCTGACAGTGTGACGTCAGACACTGACTCAGGGAGGCACAAACCTCTTCAGTGAGGGATGGAACAACCTCCAATATGTAAACGGAGTCAACAAAAACACTTTAAACCATTTATTATGTCATTATCTCTTCTAACAAAACCAACAGAAGGTGATTTTTACAAGCTTTAAAGCAGAAAAACACTCTGCAGTCCGCACTGATAAAACAACAAGAACTTGCACAGGTGAAAAGGTTGTTGGTGGGGGGCAGCTTCACACATACATACTCTGTTGCATCCATCAGAGTATGAATGTGTGAAAGAAACATACATGTATGCATGCACAGTATGTATGTAGGCTGTATGCAGTAAATATTTGATTAAAGTCCAAGTCTACACAAAACATCATTTAAATCTTGTAGTGTGGGATTTTAATAACATTAACATCTATTACATACATACATAAAAAAAATCATAAATATTTTTAATATCTGCTGCCTGCATAGTGACTGCTCACTATATTAAGAGCTTCTAAAATTCTGGTTATTTTCTTCATTCCTCATCCTCATTTAAGCCGTGAATCAATCCAACAAGATTTGATTTAATTAAAAATAGGCGATAAAACGATAACGATATGTATCGCGATATAACTTTTACTCGATAGAGAAATTAAGCTATCGCGATAGACCTCGCCGCTCTTGTCCTCTTAAAAAAAAAAAAGGTCAGCCAATCCAACTGAAGTAGCGCAGAGCCGAACCAATCACAGCCGCAGCGTCACGTCGCGTGACTTGTTACGTACAGCACAAGTGCCAAGCCACACGTGTGTTTGTTTGGGAAGCAGCCAGCGCATAATGGAGGAAATGAGTGTGCCGACTAGAAAAATCAACCGAGCGTGACCGAAGAGAAAACAGATGATGGTTCCAATGCCGGAGAGATTGTCGAACGGAAGAGCCATAGAAGTTCCGTAGTGTGAAGGTATTTCGGCTATTTCAAGTCTGACAAAAAACAGAGTAGCGTGCACTGTAAATTGTGCCGAAAGCAAGTCTGGAAATACAATAAACTGGTGCATGCGTCACACTGTGCGCCACGTTATTGTGTCGGTGAAATGAATTTCTACAATACTGTTAATTGTACTCTCTGCAGTGTTTAAATGCTTACATATACACACAGTTACTGTCCGTCCACACATACGACTCGGTTCTGCTTCTATGCCCCAGCTTTGTTTACTTTTTCCCACCGAGGCTTCTAGACTTCTGATTGGCCAACATTTAGGCACGGTTAGGAATCTAGCGCCACCTGCTGCTTTGGCATGTTCATAGCAGCGTTTTCCTTCATTTCTCCCTTTATGTGTGGACGGGATTATTTTTTAAAAAGAAAACGGAAAATCTCAGTTTTCAAAAATACCCGTGTACGTGTGGACGTAGCCTCAGTCTCTGACTGGAAGCGCTAATTCGTCATTCGGCTTTTGTCAGACTAAAGTAACTGTTAAAACTGTTTGAAAAGCTCAGCTATACAACAAGGAGAGATTGAGAATTTCCTTTTAGTTCTCAGTTTATTTGATATTGACAAAAGTTAGTCAGTTTTGTCTGTTCTTCTGTAAAACAAACTAAGATTTATTTTTAGAATTAATATTTTGTTTCTAAGTGGAATTGACAATTTAGTCTGTTTCGTTTGTTCTATTTTGAAACTTAAACGCTTTAGCGGCTGCCTTTTGTGTAGTTTGCAATATTTGCCTTTATTTATCTGAAAAAGTCTCATGTTCCTTAAGTACATCTACCCTGTTGAACTTATTATGGGAAATAAATATTTAAATAAAAACAAGCTGCTGATTATTTCACATTTTACTTGTGAGCAACGGCACATTTAAATCTTACAAATATAGTTATTTGGCTTATATCGTGATATATATCGTTATCGCCTGAAATGAAAAAAACATATCGTGATATGAAAAAATCTCATATCGCCCAGCTCTAATTAAAAAACAAACAAAGAAACAAATATTTTTTTAGATAAGTCAAAGGCACCAGGCTGAGGATGATTCCCAGATAGTAACAGACTCCAGGGTGGATCCATCCTCAGTCAGCAGATCCACGGAGTCCCTGATTCCACAGGATCAGCTCTCCTTCAGATCCATCAGACTCACTGCAGACGCACAGAGGATCCACTCATTTTATTTCTGACCACGATCAGACTTCACAGAAGCTCTGTGGACTCAAACAGGTCAGTAAACTGTGCTATCAGGTTAACTCATGTTTGCTGTTCAGTAACATCAGACTGGGAGGAGACAATGAAGCTGATCATTATTTTATTTAGAAATGTGAGACTGAACCAGTTAGCTTACAGCATATTAGCTAACAGCACATTAGCTAACAGCACATCAGCTAACAGCATATTAGCTTACAGCACATTAGCTTACAGCATATTAGTTTACAGCACATCAGCTAACAGCACATTAGCTTACAGCACATTAGCTTACAGCATATCAGCTAACAGCAAATTAGCTAACAGCACATTAGCTTACAGCATATCAGCTAACAGCACATTAGCTAACAGCACATTAGCTTACAGCATATTAGCTTACAGCACATTAGCTTACAGCATATTAGCTAACAGCCTATTAGCTAATATAGAGAGAAGATTTAAAGAGTTACAAGTTTAAAAAAGACCTCATGGACAGGATTTATTTGAGTCTAGCAGGTGAAGTGGTTCAGTTTTCTGTCCTGGTGCTGACTTTACTCCAGGACTGAGCTCACAGGAGTTTTTCACCCCTCCAGGAATAATTGCACATAAAGTTAAGCTAATGTTACAGGTACCGGGGGCAGCACCCGTAGACAGCCACATATGTGTCCTGTAAACAGGAAAGAATGATAACTTAGTTAAGCTAACTTAGCTCGCTTTGTTTTCAATGAACTTTGTATCTCCAGATTAAAAACTGCAGAGACATCCATTAGATTAAAATGGGCCTTATTTAATTAATGTTTCAGAGACATTTTTACTTATTACAGCCTGTTATTGGCAGATTGTTGAATTATTAGCAGTTATTGAAACAGCCAGATAACTACAGCTAGCTGTTTAATACAGATGAAACTGTATCAATGAGATTCTGAAGTGATGTTTTCCACAGTTCTTGTTGTGTTATTGGACGGAAATCTATGGAAGTGTGTCAGCATCCTCATCCTATGAATGTGTCATCACTCTGCCTGAAGTGTTTTATGTTTGTAGATCAGTTTGCTGAAGTCCTGTTAAATAAATTGAAAACAGTTAAATAACCGAGGAGAGTCTGGATGTTGATCTGAAGGATAAATGTCAATATAATGATCTTTATCAGTGAAATTACACATGTTGTGTTGCAGAATACAACAGGTGAGGCAGGTGGATGATCATGGAGGCACAACGAGGTCTATCAGGTAAGTTATGAGTCATGTTGTTATTTTTATGAATTTACTTTGCTTGTTGGCTAGGGCTGGGCCATATCATACCGTCATACCGTTCACGGTAGTACCGGTATAATGTTAGGCAATGATAAGAAAATGAGATATCGCGATAGAATATGTGTAAAACGTGGATGCGCAGAGCCTTTGTTTTCATACGCACATGGTGGAAAAAGCCAGCGCTCAAAAATCTGTTAGAAATGTTTTAGGACGACTCAGGTAAGCTACGCTTGATGGATTGTCGGAGCATTACGGCTACCGTAGTCAGGAGCCTCGCGGAGTAATAGGTACTGTGCTTTAACATAACTTTACCGCATTGTGTGTGTAAAACCTCCATTTTAGTTTTGTGGATATTATACATGGTTATGCTCAGGACATGTCGGCCCGTTTCCACTGGAAATGCCTTTTGGTTAAACTGTCAGCATTTGCATTTGCACTGTTACATTTTTATATAACTTTAATGCACAGAAAAACAGCTGCTTGTTTAAGTGAAAATACATTGATGGGTTTTTTTGCACTAATAAAGTTGTGGAGTTTTGTCTCGCATCAATTATATCGTCAGTTATATCGTTATCGCAAATTTTCAAATATATATCGTGATAAATGTTTTTGGCCATATCGCCCTGCCCTGTTGTTGGCTCACTAGTCCCAGGAAATAAGTGTCCTGTCCTCCTCATTGTAAATCAGCCACATTCAGGGTTTTCCTGCTGAAACAGATCTTTGTGCGCTGATTGTTGAGCTAATGGCTAAAGAGTGATTTATGCTGGAGGAAATTAAACACTACTTAACAACGTTTAGTTAAAAAAATTTATTCCATTTTCCTTTGGAGAGCAAAACCTCCTGAGTGCTGCCAGATGTTTTTGTATGCAGGAGAAACTCAGACACACAAACACAATAAACACAGAAGTCAGACAACATTCAGTCAGCCTGTTTCATATGAATCTTACACGTGTGACAAACACACACGAGTGTTGCTGAGTCAGCACAGACATGTTCTGACTCATCACTGATGTTTATGAGGAAATCTGAGAATGACTGAAAGTGATGCAGAACCTCTGAGAACCTCGTGTTTAACTTCTTTTAAATAAAGACGTCGTGCTGATTCCTCTGACTGAGACCACTAACAGCTGCAGCTGCAAACTGGAGGTTTTAGAAAGAACAAAGTTCAACATTTACACCAAACTAAACAAACAAACAACCTTTATTTGTCACATACACAATTATACAGAGTACAACATGTAGTGAAATTCTTGTGTCCAAGCTGCGGACATTCCAGGGCTTGGTTTTTAGCATGGGGGGTCTAGCCAGGACCCTTACTGGGAATCGAACTTGTGACTCCCGAACCACTACACCATCCAGCTGCAACATCCTCCAATAAAACTTTAAGTTGCTCCTGATATGTGTCCATGTCCATTTCTGCAAGACTGTCTGATGTAATCTTCTTATATGTAAGCAGGCAAATCCAACCACGTCAGCCTGCAGCAGGTGGAGGACGTCCAAGCAGCTGTGCTGCTGTCCAGGAACACGATCCTGCTGCTCCATGGAAACAGGTTTAATGGTGCCAGAGCTTCTATCAGAGGCTTCAGACAGAAGGTGAAGCAGTTTGTTTGCATGAACACAGATTTAGACGGTGTCTGTGGGCTGGGTGGATGTTCTCCTGTCACTGTGAGGTAAAGAAGCTTTCTTCAGTAACATGACACAGTTTACACGTTTATAAGGATTTGATTCATGTTTACGCTTGTTTTGTGTTGACTTTGGGATAAAACCAGTTAATAAGAATCTAATAAAATAATAATAAAAGCACTAATGTGACATTTTAGTCTCTTTGTTTGTCCTTAAAAATATTATAACATTATTATATTATTATTATCTGCTGTGGGTGTGGCTATTTTAAAGGGCTACAGGGTTTCATCCATGTTTAATAAGAACTCGGTGGTGTTTGCAGAAGACAAGTTGATTCTTTCTGTGTGAATGTTTGAACTCGTGCTGTGTGACGGTGGACGTTCTTCTGATTTCTGCATGTTTTCATCTCTAAATGCTGCAGTTATAAAACTGATCACAGGCCCACCTGAAGACAGAACATGAACACAGTGTTGATTACAGCTTGGTTATAATAACCTTATAAATGCATAAATATATCAGTGTGTATTGTGTGTCACAAAGGGTCTCAGTGATGTGTTAAATACAGAAATCTTGTTTTGAGATAAAACTCTTAGAAGCTGTAGTTGTGCACGACGGTGTGAACGCTGTAAAATAAGAGCGATGCTCAGATGAGCAGCTAAACATGTTTGGAGAACTGCTGACAGACTAAATCCTAAAAATCCAACAGTGTCTGTGTTTCTTCATTGTGTGAAACAAACATGAATTCCTGCCTGACTGGTTCAACTAGTTTGTTCAGTAGAGTTTAAATAAAGATCTAAAACTGAACGTCTTGAAAGATTCAAAGTTTTATTTAAAAAACATCTTTTTGCTGCAGTTTTTTTAATAATTGTTCAGTTAATATTTGATGTCCTGCTGAGCTGTGAGATGATGTCATTATTTCTGCCATTACTGGATAAAATGAATCTCATTTAGAGAAAATCTCTGCTCTGAGACAGAGATTAGACACGTTTGTAATCTGATGTAATCTGAGTATCACTGATAGACGACTCTGTGACAGCTGCAGCAGACATGTTTAATGAGTCACTGTTCATACTGTTCATGGTTCAGTCACAGTAACTGTCCCAACTCTGTGATTAATGTCAAGTCTTATTGTTAAAAGAAACACGTTATAATAAACCTGTGAGCTCTGATGGATCTGTCTACAGATGTGAGATATTTCAGACATTTTAAATAAAGAACACAGAGTTTATCAGGTCACAACAAGCCACATGAATCACAAACAGATCAGGAACAAACGAGGTTAAACAACCGGATCTGTTCCAAGTGTTTGCGGCTCCATTTCACAGCTTTAAGAACACTTTCAGGACTTTTACTGTCAGAGCCTCGATGTTTTTAACCTTTATTGAACACAAACAGTTTATAGCAGCGGTTCTCAGACTTTTCACAATGAGTACCACCTCATAAAATATATGGCTCTTGACCCACATTAAAGTACAGTAGTAAAGGCCTATTTAACGCCACAAACAGTTTACACGAGACAATTTTATTTCTGATATGAATGTCATTTATTTTAACTGTCATAAACAGGATGTGACGAGTGACATTAGTAACAACTGTACTGCATTAAAACACAGCAGCAGGTGGGATATCCAATCTTTAAGTGATGACCTGGTGAAACCTGCTTCTGGGTCCAAACGACTCTGAGTTTATTAAGGCTGTTGTGTTTTTAACATCTTTTAATGCTTTGAATCTTCTTCCATTTAATCTGAACAAGCCCCTAAAAAAGGTCAGTGATCACTGTCGGCCTCTCTCGGTTGTTATCACCACTGTTCATTTTAAAGCTCAGTTTTAAAAACCTTAGGCTGTAACTACAGCCCAGCCCATGCAGCAGTATATGAATGACTAACCTCGTATTGTGGATGGATTATCTCAGTCGTTCTCCTGACTGAAGTTTGGTCCTTTTACAGCATCCTGCCATGCGATTGCATTTGTCACTAACCATCAGTGAACATAATCATTTATACTCCACCTTAATACAAAGATCATCCTCTGACTGAATGAAAGAGAAGAAGAGGTGTAGCGTTCACAACAACATCTGGATTTTTAAGGAGATTTTGAGATAATATTTTATTTTAAACTTCTCTTGATTTTTCACTTTTCTCCTTAAATCAGACTCACAATCTGATTGCAATTCTTTGCCAAAGTTTATAGCGACCATAACAGATGAAGTCAGAGGATGATTAGTGGCAGAAACGGGCTTCCAACTTATCCCATTAAGTCACCAGCTGACACTAACAGAAAAAAGATATAAACACATTTCATATTTAAAATAACTCGACAATAACAGCAGTCTGTACCTGGAGAGGATGACATGTGGCTGTCTGATCACAACCAATACAAACCTCAGTCAAACGTCACCTTTGAACTAAAACTAAAACAAACAACTTTTCCTTTCAGATTTTCACATTTTTCTTGTAACATGTAAACAAACTGAAAGCTCTGTGAGTTTATGAAAATGTATCCTCATGGAGTTTGCATGTTCTCCACATGTTTGTGTGGGTTCTCTCCGAGTACTCTGGTCTCCTCCCACAGTCCAGAGACATGCAGTCAGTGTGGCTGGGTTATTGCATCATTCTAAATCTCCATAGGTGTGAATGGTTGTCTCTCTTTCTGTTTTTTACTGAGACTGCTGACCTGTCCATGGTCTACCCTGTGATAGATGAGATAGACTCCAGCTCCCCGTGACTCTGAACTGGATAAGTGGAAGAGAATAGATGGATGGATGTTCAGTACACATTTTGAGCTATGAGTTTTCTGCCAAATGCAGTGATCTGATTGGCCCAGATCTGTTTATTTGCATGCAAAAAATGTGGACTAAACTCAGAGTGAACTGATGCAGAGTTCAGCTTTAGACTCACACACAGCTGATTCATGTTTCTGTCTCTGTGTCCTAAGTTTCCCAGCATGCCTCGGCTCTGGAGGTGTATGAGGGGGTGGAGTCTGTCCTGCTGACCTGTCAGGACTCTTCTGTACCTGCGTTTCCCACTTTGGTGTGGACTCGCCATGACCTCGGTCCTCCAATCGTCCACGAGCGTAATGATGCAGGAGATGAACTGAGACACCAAAACCAGCGTTACAGGAGACGAACGTCCATGAAGACGGACTCTCTGAGGACCGGAGACTTCAGCCTCACTCTGAGGAACCCCATCACCTCTGACAGCGGCACCTACACCTGCACCATCACTGCATTTGGAAACACACGGACACTGACAGAAGTAGATCTGCAGGTCAAAGGTCAGCAACACACCCAACACACCAAGAAAGACTGTTGACCGTTTAACCTTTGTTGTAGCTGTTTACACAGATGTTCAGGCTCAGCTATCATCAGCCTGTGTGAACAGCTTCAGTCTTCATCGAGGACAAACCTCCACTCTGCTGCTTATCTACAGACTGAGTTCAGCCTCACTGTTCATAAATGTCCTCACACATTCATAAGAACTAAAGCAGGAGGTCCAAACAGCTTCAGGTGTGAGCAGCACAGAAAGGTCTGACTTAGAGAGACTCCAAAGACAGCAACAGGAAACAGACGATTATCAGACGTTAGAGACTCTAACCCAACATCCAAACTGTTAACATCAGGTTCTGACGCTGTGGCCATCAAAACTTCATTCTGTTATTTAGTGTTTGTTTTCTGTTGTATTCTGTTCTTTTCTATTCTATGTTATTTGATTCTGTTCTATTCTATTCTCCATCCATCCATCTTCTTCCGCTTAGCTGGGTCGCGGGGGCAGCAGCCTAAGCAGAGCAGTGCAGCATCTGCTCGCTTGCAGCCGCAGCACCAATCTCCCGCTCCCTTCTCCCGTCACTCGTAAAAACAAGACTCCGAGATATTTATATCCACTTGGGGCAAGGACTCGTCCCTGACCCGGAGTGGGCACTCCACCCTTTTCCGGCTGAGGACCATGGCCTCAGATTTGGAGGTACTGATTCTCATTCCCACCACTTCACACTCAGCTGTGAACCTTTCCAGAGCGAGCTGGAGGTCATCACTCGATGTAGCCAGCAGAACCACATCATCTGCGAAAAGCAGAGATAAGAGTGTGAGACCACCCAAGTGAAAGCCTTCCGCCACTTGGCTACGTCTAGAAATTCTGTCCATAAAAATTATGAACAGAATCGGTGACAAAGGGCAGCCCTGGCGGAGCCCATCACCCACCAGGAACGAGTCCAACTTACTGCCGGCTATGTGGACCAAGCTCTTACAACGGTTGTGTAAGGATTGAATGGCTCGTAGCAATGGGCCAGACACCCCATACTCCTGGGGCACCCTCCACAGGACACCCCGAGGGACACGGTCGAATGCCTTCTCCAAGTCCACACAACACGTGTACTGGATCAGCTCTTTATCCTTTTAAGGATACTTGAGTGTGCATGAGAGTTTGCCCAACCAGTTTTCCACGACCAGGACGAAAACCGCATTGTTCCTCCTGTATCCGAGGTTTGACTAACGGACGGACTCTATTCTGTTCTATTCTATTCTGTTCTATTTTTCTTCTATTTGGTTCTGTTCTATAAATTTAAATTTTTAAGTTTTAATTTGTGGCATCAGATATTAGATCTGTATATGAAGGAAATTTGTTTTTTTTTCATATTGTGAAGTATCCAGTAAATAAGCTGAGGTACCTCATCAAGAAATGACTGCAGGATAAACAGGTTAGCTCACCTTTCTGTGATTAGTTTACAGTAAAGAACAGTGTGTGACTGCTGCACAGCAGCTGTGCTGTTCAGGGTCAGAGTTCACTCACATCAAGTGTAGCAAAGATGACACTTGGATTCATTCACTGGATTCAACCTTTATACCAACTGCCAACCATCTAGTATAAAGACATCATCAATACAGTTTACTGTATGCAGAAAAGGTTTCTCATGTACCAATCAAAGAGTTACTTTGAGTACATGTCAGAGCCTGTACTGTAGAAGTTAAATCAGTACTTCAACTTTTACTGGAGTATTCTTAACACACGT